GGAGCTTTTCAGAAAGTGCCAGGTTAGCCCCCTCCCCTCGCAAACAAGGACACGTTAAATTTCACTGAATTACCCTCTCGGCTTCCTTACATTGAAAAGGGTCCAAAAAATAAACACAAACAGATATCTACTCAACTTGCATCGTGCCAAACTTCAGTGGATCAGAACTGACCAGGAATGGGATTTATCTGAAGTTGCTATAGGCCTACGGATCAAAATGAGACAAAACGTTTCAATGGATGTCAGTTTTTAGACCACGGTAAAGCAGAAATGTGACCCGGCCCACATCAGATCATGGTGAGTTTCGTTTTAAGCCTAGCAGATTGTCGGATTTGCCTTCCGCTCCTGAAGCAGTTGTGGTTAACTTGCGGGCCCTAGCGGCCATGTACGAGGAGTAGCCTAATTAATGACGTTATTAATATAAACAAAATCCCGCATAAACACAGGTTGTCCTTAGGAATACACATGAGTGTATTCCTTTATTCCTGTATTTTGGCCATGTTTATGAAAACATGGCCAAAATATAAGTCAAGTAAGATAAGCCACTTTCAGACACACAGTCAATCACAGATCTCATGAAGTCCATTCATGTGTATGCCTGACGGAGATCATAGACTAAAACATAGACAAACAATATAAGTTGTCCTGCAGAGTGACGATACTTGGTCCAACTAGTTAGACCTCTAATAAGAAAACGATAATTATGTTTACCCTGTCAAAAAAAGTCAAAGTATTAGAAAAAATCAGAAGGTAGCAATCTGATTAAATAATGTGAATTGAGATCATGAAGAGGGTCTACGGGTTTAAGACCCCAAACAGAACATTTTGTATTCTTTAAACTTCTGGACTTAACATATTTTTAATAGTAGTGGAAGTTGACATATAGAAATGTCTAGAAAAGTGTGTATATCTATCTAGTGTAATTTTTCCTAACTTCGTTAACACCCAATATGTAGATGGGGTTTGACATATCAGATGGGTGTTATATGGAAATTGACGTTGCAACCTGCAATTGAGTGAACTGTCTATCCATTTATCTTACCAGCATGACTTTATCCATGACATTAATGCCGTTTTTGTTCACTAAGCTGAAAGCAACTCGATTATATTTGTTTTTCAAATTTGCAGCACTAAAAAAAACAATATTCTACAAGATGTAACAAGGTTTTAGTGTTCAATATGCTGTTTAAACTTGTGAAATTAATATATTTGAAGGAGTCCACATTTGTCCCTGACATTTCTCACACAGCACAGTGCCGTCATGACTACCACACACTCATGTTCACAGTCAAGGGAATGGATTCCTCTCCACCCAGCAGCACCGTGTCTCTCAGTGTTCCCTGAAATAGGGTGTTGCAGGGGTGTCAGAGGATCACACCCCTGTCTGCCTCCCACCTGCTCCAAAACCCACCCGATACTCTCTCATAATGTAGCCACACACACTTTCTCACACACATGCATGCAGTACCCCTAGACAAAGGGCACAAAGCACAAAGGTGATGTAGTGACAGATGCTCCTGTCACATACTTAGCATATCTCCACCTCCGAAATAGTGCAAGTGCAGTCTGACTCTCTCACTCCACGGAAACCAACGCTCCTATTCATCACTCATTAATTTCCCGGACGGATAAAAGCAGCTCTTAAACCACAATCCTTCACCCAATATTTATCCAATCTGACCAAATATTATAATTAGTGCCTCTGCCTCTCCTCTCTCCTTCAGGCCAATATATTCCCCTCATCCTCCCTCCCTCTCTAACCTCTCAGTGCCAAGTTCACAGATAGAGAGAAAGTACTTCCTGTGAGAGGCCGGGCCGGCTGCCAGAGAGACTGATCCACCAATCTGACACGTTAATGAGATCCTGGCCCGTGGTACCGGAGTGTCAGGCCTCCTCTGCAGCAGCATCAGCCCTGCCGTGACCTGCAACACACACTCACGCACACACGTGTCTATACTCATGTGTAATTCTTTCACACATGCACCCACACGCACCGAAATATAGGCATAAATGAATCCTAGTGAGTCTCTTTCCACACACACACACACACACAGTTTGAGGGGGGGTTCAGCTCCTTAAATCTGTCTAATTAAAACACGAAATCCCTCTACTCCCCTCACCCACAAACCCAATCCTCACTCCCAGCCACACACACACACACACACACACACACACACACACACACACACACACACACACACACACACACACACACACACACACACTCGCACCCCACCCTCCTCCATCCCCTCTGCCACCACCCCCGATTCCGCGGGAGAAATGATTATTAGGAATTTAATGGGGGAACGTTTCCCATCCCACACCATCTGGGGCTTGGGAATGGCACAAAATTTGAGGATGCTTGCCGACGTGGCGGGAACCATTATTTTCATTTTTTCTTGACTGGTGCTACGATTTTCAGACATTGCAGTGGAAAATAAAGGCTCCTAATTACAATAAATTACCATGATATATTTCAAATATAAAATACATATACAGATTCATTTGTGTTTTGGGGTTATAGGTGATTGCAGAAAACTTTTCCCAACTTCTGAGGTGACTGTTGTCATTCTGAAACTTCTCCCTATAGAAACACAATGTTTGTTTTGCACTAATTATGACATTACATCTCAGATTGCAGATTCACCTCTGTACGATATATATCCTCCATTCCTGTCCTTCACCTCCCACACAGAGCCGGGCCATATGCTCCCTCTCTCTCTCTCTCTCTCTCCCTATACTTCTTTCTCCCCCTCTCTGCCTCGCTCTCTCTCAACGCAGCTTTAATGAGCTGCTTGAATGTAGGGGTACGTGTACACGTTTGACCCCGTGCTAAACTGCTGCACGCCGCTCTGTGGACCCTGTGGGCGTGAAACACCCCCTCCCCTCTCTCCCTCAACTCCTCCTCACCCTCGTCAGCCTCTCTGTGAGGCCCCAGGAGGGATTGAAATCCTCCTGTGCATTCACACACACACACACACACACACACACACACACACACACACACACACACACACACACACACACACACACACACACACACACCGCCTGGTAGAAACAGCAGTAAGACTGACATGGTTAGAATTTTAGTGAATGGGATAAATAAGGCCTGGTCGTGACGGATGAGGGGCTAAAGAGATGATTTTAGGGCCCCAGAGGGACCTCCAGTAACCCGGACTTCCAGTTTAATGATGATATAGGGGAGAGAGGGATGAGTGAGGGAATGAAGATGGGAAAACAACACCTTTTCTCAATAATAAAATAAACCCTTAATGTTCCTTATTTGTGTTTGTTTTTTTCCACAAGTTGATCTGCTAGAAATACAATTCACCAAAAGCAGCACTGATATCTAAATCGACAAAATGCAAGCCTTAACACCATTTAAAATGATTTGAAGTTAAATACGCAGAAGAGGAAGATTACATTTTATGATATGTGTTGTTTTCTGGTTAGTGATTTCTAAAACGAATTTGTGAGAAGTTCCATTAGGTTCACTTTGTGCTGCCATTGGTTTTTTCAATGTTTGCTCATTTAGCTATCAAATTAAATTAGCTCAAACATTGGTAAGGATGTTATCTTAATGTCGTTTGCATCTTTAAAACAGATATGATGATGTGATTTAACGCTAGAGAACACTGTAAATGTCTCTACAGAAATGAAAGAGAACAAGAGTTTTACCATTATTTGCAAACCGTTATGATTCTGAGTCATTAGTTCAACTTCATAATTGAATAAATGCTGGAATAGGTTCATTTCTTCCTCTTCCTCTTCCTCTAACTCTTCTTCTTCTCCTTTCTCTTTTCCCCACATGTCACATACAGATCTGAAGGTCCTTTCTCAAACTGCGTTTCATGTAGTTCCTACACTATTTCTCACATATCTGTCATATCCTTAAAGTCACAGTTATCTAATTATCAAATGTCAAAAAGACAGTCAGGGTTCATTACAGAAAGGTGCTGAAAGCTGTTGAGGTGTTCGTAGTCTTTGAGGTTAGTTTCTTGCAGGTAACTTTGATTTCAGTGGCATCTTAAGCTTCTGTACAATTATTGCTTTATATTAAACTGCATTTTTCTCCTGTGTTATTTTAGATTTATTTTATGAATTAGGAATACATTAAGATTTGGATATATGTCGGTGCCTTATCCAAATGTTAAAATTATCCGCATCTGTCGTGTGAGTCGCTGGAGTTTCTCTTTGAACGTTTTCCATGATGGTAGTGTTGGTCAAATAAATGAGTTTAGCTGTTTTACCAGGTTTTATTAATGGAACGTTTAGCAGGAAACAGTAGTTGTGAAGTGAAAGTGAAACACAAGTAACCCAGTTGACTTGTTCTTTCTTCCACGTAGTATATAAAGAGTTGTGTTTATAACCTGCAAACGGTGCGTCTGTAACCACGAGTTACATACTACATTAAATATAGGCGTGTATTTGTATTTAAACCCGAGAGTTTAGGATCATCTAAAGAGCAGGAGAGCGAAATCAAATAGATTTTTCAAAAATACTGCCGGAAAATAAACTTTTATATTTGCTTTTAGAGACGCGGGACAGATTTAACATAAGTATCTCCAGGGATTACCAGAGGACTGCGATCTCTGGCTCACATCCAACACCTCGTGGGCACATTTTTCACAAATCAGCCATCTGATCAACTGAAATTAAATTAAATTATATCGACAAGCCAATTTCAGACAAAGCATTACAAAAAACACAGCGTAATATGTGCGTAACGTAGGCTATCAGAGATGTGTGTTTAATTCATTAAGAATGCCAATTTAAGATAAACTTCATTTGTATCGTTTGAAAAAATAATTGATAACATTCCCTTTTACAGTTTAAAACTCAACATATATTTAAATATATATATACTATTCACATCGTATGTTGCTTTTGGCCTACACGCAAGGCCTTTACGCACTGTCACCTGAAACTCAAAAGGTTGCAATGTTATATTAACATATTCAATTTCTCAAAAATAAATAAAAACAATTATGTCCGGGGCTTTTTTGATTTATTAATATCACATTTATTCAATCGCCATTTTCCTCCTGTCGATGGTTTTCACAGACAGTCAAGAAGCTGCACAGAAAGCCCCTCACAGCTTCTTAATTTTATTGAGACAAACACATCACAAAACATTAACACATTACTTCACGAATATTTCGATCCATAACGAGTTTTCAAGAGTGTGTGTGCTAAAGAGAGAAATAAAAGTTCAGAATATATCCAATAATCATTCTTCATTCGGGTAAAGTTACAAAATCAATTTATGGGAGCACAGTCACCAACATTGTGCAGGAATACATGAAGTGCATCACTCTGTAAAAAGTTCACATCAAACTATCCAAAACTGTCATTTCGTTGCATATTGACGTCAGCATCTATTTTTTTAAGGCATGTTTTTCAGATCCATATAGTTTGGAAACATCTTGTTAACCTCACACAAATTTATTTTACTTCCATCTGCAGTGAAATATACACCAATGCAACAGAAACAAACTTTAAATGTATGGAAATTCACATGTCAACTGTTGATTTTACAATATTGTTTTAATAATATATTATCCACATTCAAATTGAAGGACTTATAATAAATAAGCTTAAATAAATGAATACAATAATAATTTACATTCACCTCGATGCCACACTATTTACTCCAAATACAAATGCATTTAGTTTTTAACTTTTTCCCCCCAAAACTTCCTGTATTTATAGGACCAGTTCAGATGACATCATCATCAGGTCTCCTAAACACGTGCACCAAACACTTTTTTTAATAATTCATTTTGTGTAGGTCCTAATTGTCATCATTTTAAATATATATTAGATAATGAGAAACGCCTTGTGAATGGAAATAGACATTTATCATTGTTTAAGCAAAGATTGCATTTGGCTGCCTTGCATAGCTCAATTGACCTTTATTGCTAACAGACTGAATCTCTGAACTCCAATCATGTTTCAGCAAACTTCCCTGATGAGGCGAAGCGTTATTCAGATTCTTCTTCCCCGGTTGTTTATTTAGCTGATTTTATTTGCCACGAAAATTATTTTACTGACTGCTGGAACCTTATTAAAAGGCAGAACATCGAATGAATTGTCACAATATTAGCTTTAAATAACCTGACTTACATCTGCAGTGCAGCCATTAACAAATACATAATACATTCTAACTGTAAAACAATGTACTTAACCCATTTCTTTACATTTGTGGTTGTCCATATGCAAAACAAATGGGGCAGTGAGCCTTTACATTTTAATGTTCGTTGATTGAACCAGAGATCTGCCTTCAGAATGAAATCGTTTAATTTCATTCCAAAGCAAAAGCCTCGTTGTATCTTTTTTCTGCCTTATTGACACACGTTTTGTGAAGTAAATTATCATATCTAATTTGCAGATTTACATCATGGTTCAAAGTAAAAACAAGACTGAGTATTCAACATTAAATGACTTGATTCAATTGGCATTTTTGCAGTGCATCAGCGTGTCTGGAGTCCACTCTCGACATCTGCGGGGGAAATTGCATCGCTTCTGAAACTTGAACTTTGTCCAGCTGATTGATTAATTGTGGAAAGAGCCATTAACTTCCCCTTGTGCTTGGAAGGACTGGCTGCGGACGTGCAAATCATAGGGGAAGCGGCCCTCTGGGGACACTCGGTACATGGAGTTGTGCGCAAGAGCCGTGCGTCCTGGCGCACTGCAGTAGCGCATTCCATAGTGGCTGCCTTTCCCGTAGTCTGGTGGATCGTCGTGTTTTAGGGAGAAAATCCCGTTAAAGTTCATCGGGGGGCTCATCTGACCGTCGAAAGGCGGACTTCCGCCCTCCGGGGACGGGTTCTCGTAGTAGGGCTCGTACGCGCCGCTGTAGCTGTAGTGTCTGAACGGCTTGGCACCTCCGTCCACGCTGCTGCCGCTGTGCCCGGGGGGCGTGTTCACGTCTGAGCCCGGGTAGGGGTACACGGCATCGTATGGCGACCTGCCAGAGAACATGACCTCTCCGTTGTGGTCTGTGAGGAAATTTCTCGCGTTCAGCTGCAAACAACCGGCCACCAAGTTGGTCGTGGGCTGAGATAATCCTTTGCACAAAGTCTGCACGAAGGCGAGCAGGTCCGGTCTCTTCCCCGCGCTCAGGGTCTCTGACAGGGCCCAGATGTAGTTCTTAGCCAGTCTCAGGGTCTCGATCTTGGACAGTTTTTGAGTTTTTGAGTAGCACGGCACAACTTTGCGAAGGCTCTCCAACGCGTCGTTCAGGCCGTGCATCCTGCACCTCTCCCGGGTGTTCGCTTCGTGCCGCCGTACTTTGGTCCGTTCGAACTCCTTACCGGGCTTCTTTTTTCGCGGGCCTCGCTTCTTAGGGAGCCCGTTGTCATCCTGCTCGCTCTCCCTCTCCTCCTCCTCCTCTCTGTCGGACATGTCCTCCTCGGCCTCCCTCATGTCAGAGTTGGACCTGTCGTGCTCCTTCTCCAGGCTCTCAGGCAGGCTTTCACGGGAATAACTGGCACCGAACCGCGGCTCACGCATCAAATGAGGTTCCTCGAATGGCAATGTCAACATATTTCCTGTAAAATCAAAGCCAAAAAACATAAACGATGAGGATAGAGTATAACACAGAATCATTTTGAAGGTTGCCAGTTAATTACATAGGTCCTCCCAAGAGGAAGAGGAACAAATTGGCAAGCAAGGCCAATGTCACCTTTTCAAAGACACTCAACTTCATTGTAAAAAGGAACCTTGTTTAAAGGCTCTGTCACATATTTAGTGATAATACCTGATAAAAGCCACATTGTTTTTAAAGAGAGGCAAAAACAACACATCTTCATTAATACATAATATAACAATGTTAATACTAACCTCAGGTCAGTTTGCACCATGCATGTTCCCAAATATCTCCTCTGAATCTGCGCTGCAGCTTCTTCTCTTGCAAACCACAGATTATGAGAAAAGCAGAACTGTGCGCACTCCCTTCTCTCTGCCTGGCTGTGTGGAGCTCTCCCTCTTCTCTCTCTCTTTCCCTTCCCTCTCTCTTTGAGGAATGACACTCATGCCAACAGCGGGTACCCATGCCATCTGCCGCTGACGTCTTGTGGCAGGCGAGACCACGTGCTCACTGTCCCATGGGATCTCCATATCGTACCGATCATCTGGCAGCTCCGGTAATGGGCACCGGGAGGCCCGCGTTTACCGTCAAGAAACACAGACCGGAGAGGATAACAACTAATATCTGCATCTCTGCGTGTAAGAAAGATAAATTAATGTCGTATTTTGTGGGAAAAAAATTGAGATTGTTCGAGTTTGCAGGCATCTTCAACAGGTCAGATAAGAAAGAAGGAGATAGATAGATAGATAGATAGATAGATAGATAGATAGATAGATAGATAGATAGATAGATAGATAGATAGATAGATAGATAGATAGATAGATAGATAGATAGATAGATAGATAGATAGATAGATAGATAGATAGATAGATAGATAGATAGATAGTAGATAGATAGATAGATAGATGGATAGATAGATAGATAGATAGATAGATAGATAGATAGATAGATAGATAGTAGATAGATAGATAGATAGATAGATAGATAGATAGATATATAGATAGATAGATAGATAGATAGATAGATAGATAGTAGATAGATAGATGTTATTTAAAATAATAAATAAGCCCCTGCTATAAAAACTCAATGCTTCTTCTGAATAGTTGGAAATCTAAATCCCTTTCGTTTGTCACACACATGTACACAGCCCTGTACAGACAGTAATACAGTATGTTATCTCTGCATTTAACCCATCCTATTATAAATAGTTGTCAGCTATTAGAACATACAGTGCCTGGGAATCAGTGAGCTGATGCTTTGCTCAAGGGCACCTTGGCAGAGCCAGGACAACTGGCACCCCCTTCATACTGATATTCTGAACAATCTGTGCTGTTGTATTAGCTGTAAAGTGTCTCTACTGTAGGCTATTTTTATTATATTTACAGCACTTTGGCTCGACCAAAAATCGTTTATAAATGTGCTATATAAATAAAACTTGATTTTATTTTATTTATAGTACACTCCTTACTTGGTCCGTTCTGGCACTTGAACTCACCACCCTTCGGTTTCCAAGCCAAGTCCATAAAGCCCATGCATTTCTTCAAGAATTTGATTATCAAAACTATGTAAAAGATACAACAACATACACAGTTAATGCAAACATGCAGTATAACATCGGTGGGAAATCTGCCATAAAACTTAAAGCAAGATATTACATTAAATGAAACCAATTAGAAATGTATTTCTGAGAAGTAGCTGAAAGAAAACAAAGATTGAATATTTACATTATACAGAGATATACTCCAGTCTGTTAACTCTAATGTTGTGTTCAGGGTCCTCTTAAGCAGCTCATAAACGACACCTTATTGGATTTAACTGTATGAGAATTATTCGATAGAATTAGAAAATAATGAAAAAGGCCTGTGACATTTTCCCAGAGTCCAGAGTTGATCTCAACCAACAATGCAAACCTATAAATATTCAGATTACAAGAGAAAAAATCATCACATCCTCACATTGGAGAAGCTACATCCAGAGAACTTACTGTAGGGCATTCATGATTTAAAAAAACGTCTTGAACGATCAGCCGACTATCAGAATAATTGTGTTTTAGTTTTTCTAATTGATCGTCTAATCGATTAATTGTTACACTTCTTTCTCTCCTGCAGGCCTCTCACCTGCAGAGGATGGTGTGGCACCGGGGGGGCGAAACAGTGTTGGTACCTCAGGACCGTACACATTAAGTACACCCCGTGGAAAAGGCCCATTGGCACACTGCCAAATCCACACAGGGGCACAGCTGGCACTCGATATGGGTATATGCACTCCTCAGTTATGTGGAACACACACACAAGCGCGCACACAATGTATTCCTGTGAATGACCTTGTTGCAAGGAGAATCAATTACAGCAGCTTATCAATCTCTCTGTATTGGACATCGATCAGCAGGACAATGATGACACCTTAGTGTGAGGTCAGAGTGTAAAGGGACCACAGGAAGGGAAAGATAGGACAGCATACACACACTGGTGACTTTACATACCTGAGACAGAGCACCACACATGTGTTCACACTAATAAAGGCAAGTGTGTGTGAGTGAGCATTTGCAAAGATACTGTACGCACCCCCAAAAAAGAAAAATACTGAAAAAAAAAAAATCCTTTCATCACGGCCTCCCCCCCAAAAATGCCTCAGCTGGCCTGCTGATCGTCCTGGTCCAACACACACACACACACACACACACACACACACACACACACACACACACACACACACACACACACACACACACACACACACCCTAGCATCTGATGAGTCAAACTCCCCATCTCAGACTAATCAGTTGACTGCACTAATTGCAAATGCAAATATGCAAATTTATATTAATTAATTACTCCACTAATTAGTTCTCTTGTCTTTTCAGGTAATAAATCATGGTGTGGTTGAGAGGGAAAGAGAGGGACATGGCAGTGATCTTTTGTCTGCAAGAAATCCTTTTTTACAGGTCCGAATCTGATGTTTTAAAAATGTATTTTTATCAAAAAACTGACTTTGACCGAGACTTCCTAACTTTTTTTTATCCTAAATTATAGTTAATTACTTCAATTGATATGTTAAGTGTCATATTTCCAGAGAGGAAGCTTGGTCATTTGAGAGGTATATGATATAGCAGAGGTTGGTAAATCAGGGTATCTCGCTGACAGTTCTTTGCTGTCAGCTCTTTTAATTATCACATTATCAGCTTTTATAGGCACGGTGCGTGGTGCCGAGCTGCAAATGAAGGCGCCACTGATCGCACGCTGAGTCGCAAGCGTTTCTCAATCAATGTCACTAGCTGATGACAGCGAGGTGGAGTGGTAGAGGGTGTAGTAATGGTGATGGTGTGGTGATACAAACGTGATTCTGTCCGGGATCTAATTCACTGCATCACTATTTATAGATAATTTCTTAATTGAGGCAGAAGAAAGCCGGAAAATGAACCCCAAAGGCAAAGCATGTCTTTTTTTTAAAAATCCTGACACTTACTCCATAATGAGCCTTCTGCTGTCAATTTTCAGTTCCTCAACAATTTAACAACTCTCCCTATTTAGTTTGCATGCTTTATGTTGAGGTGCGTGTTCACTTCACTGAAGCCAAATAGGGATTTAATTTACTCGTCCCTAATAGGAGTGCAACTAATTTATTTTGAGTACTTGATTATACCTAAAACCCGCATGACTGCCTCTGTTCCTGCTGTTAAATTTAAAACGCTCAGACACTATAAACCTGTTGTTGCAGGATTAATATCTTATAAAAAGCTCATAACCTTAATGTGTTAATAGAAAACGGCATTATTCTTCCTTCAATGAAATGGCTGTTGCACATTAGTTGTATGTATGGAAGACAGAGTTGTATAAAGCGTACCAGGTGACGTAGTGTTGCAAATGAACTAAACTAAATGTAGTTGAATTAGTTAATGTCTCTGACTGGGATGGTTTTACCTGCAAGAAAAGAAAAACAGAACAAACAATATTGGGTTAAAATGCACTTACAGGTATTTACATTTGTTTAAATCTACATACAAAGAAAAAAAAAAGTAAATAGTTGATCATGGTTCCTTTTTGTAAACATTTCAACATTGACTTGAGAGTAATACACTTTAACCAGGTCCTACTGTTCCAAAAGTTACTTAGGGAACATTGGATTTGAAAAAAAAAAGATCTGCAGTGTTCAGAGTTTTCTATACAGAATAATATGATGGAGACATGACCTTTGCACAACATATACTGCATGTTTAAGAGCCGACATGTATAGTGTGTTTAGTGATAATCAATGAGTTATATAGGGATTTCAGTGAGACTGTGTACAACATTTGGTCAGAAATAAAAAATGGGAAATTACATTACAGTCAATTGGCAGGGGATTGCATTAATCTCAAAAGGAACAACAGCTAAATGTCCAGGATGTCGATGTCCTGTCACTATTTTAATATGACATTGACATGATTCAGAATTAAAACACTCTAAGTGGACATGTTTCCTCTCGGTTTCAGGAGTGAAGCACATCCCCCCCCCAGCCAGCGGGTGGATGTGCAGAGGAGGGCTGAGGATTGTGGGACTGATTACCAGAGGCCAGGTCCTGGACTGGTGTCCTCCAGCTGTGCTGTTCTACCCAATTAGAAACTCCATATGCTGCCCCACTCAGCTGCCTGCAGTGGCCACACCTCCACCCACACAGGTGGGAGCGTGGTGTGTTTGTGTGTGTGTTGTCTATACAAACAACACAACAGTCCGCTCACAAGGTAAGAAGCAACGTTTCTCCTGTGCCCAATATTGTATCAATTCTTTTTAGCATACGGATATATAATCAACTCACAGATCTAATTTAATTTGGTGTGATGGCCCATAGTAATTTCTTAATCCCAACCCGTCTCTTTACACCCAAACAAAGTAAGCGACTGTCACTGCTCCTTTGATAGGTAACACAGGTATTTAGGTGGGCGGCATAGAAGTGCTAATAGTATTAAAATATGGGGATATGAATAATGGATATGTTTTTGAAGATGTATAATGTAAAGATGTTAGTCCCATTTTCAGACAGAGATGGGATGCAGACGTGAAATGTTGCTGCAGGCGCCCGTTTCTTTTTCAAAGCACAATCTGTTCGCACACGTTCAAAGTGGCTGTGACAATCTGTTGTGGTAGAAAGCGACACTTCCATACCCAGAAAGTGATAGGATAAATGAAAATGTGTCAGATATCTTATACAAGTAAAACTCACATTTCATATTGAAATGTATGATAAACTCCGGAGCTCTTTTCTGACTTACAGACTGATGTCAGGAAATGTAAATAAGGGACTCACTAAAGACACATTATTTATATGTTATTACACAAGGGGCATGTTGTTGGTAAAACTCTCTTAGTTCAGAAACAAGAAGCGAATGAAAACAGGTTTTTAAAAGTGTTTTGCTCAT